AGCAACTGACTTTTAGCACGATGAAATCAGGGACATTGAATATGAAAAATATCCACTTGATATTTAGGAACTCAGCTATTATACTTATAGATTAAAATAACCATCCTGGCCCACTTTCATTTACCATTGTACTCTCCAATCACCAGATGAACTTTAATTAAATTATTCGTTACCTTCTTTGCTATCCTTTGCTTTTACAAGATTTTTGTATTATCCTCCAATATATTTCACCACGGCGTGTGGCATCTTCAGGGATAAATTCTACTCACATATTTTAAAACACTGCCATATCACAGATCACATCCACATAATACTGCATCCTTTTATTGCAATTTCGGTTAGAAATTTCTTAAATTAATTATTATTAGAACATTTGTATTTTATTAATTTGTGCCACAACACAAATAATTATTCATTGTATTCTTATCACAGATGTGGCTGCCGAGTTAACTTGTACCCAATACAGCACATGATTCAGTTTTTTGAACTATTCTAAGCCTGTGTATTGTATCCTTAATATTAAACAGAATAAGAAACTAATGGTTGTATTTGTTGTTCAAAAACTGTTATCTTATATATCATATCATATATCATACATATCATATATGTTATATTATAAAAAATGAGTGACATTTGTTGGATGCTGCAAACATACTTCTCATCCTACCGTAAAATCTAAAGTCTGTTTTGATGTTTGCTTTACATTTCATTGTTGGTGAACTAATGTTGACTCAAGTGTTGTATCAATTATTTTACAGTCGATATTACAATATGTGCTTTGTTCTTTGACAACAATAAGAGAAGGGGCAAACAAGAGCTTGTATGGATTGGAATTTGGTTCAAATATGTTTTACTCCAGTGAAACTACAATAAATGAAGCAAAAAATAAGAATAGCAAGTGTAGCTTTTTGATTGTACGAAACTAGATTTAGCTCTCCTTGATAATTGGACTTTTTATAACGGTCCTGGCTAATGAAACATGTTCTTAGTAAGTAACAAAGCCACACAAGGCGTCACACCATTCTACACTCTTCCTTCACTCATATTTGGGGTAAAATATACACCTTGGTGGCTTAATAATCTTAATAGGTGATAGTAATAATGACTCATATAATCAGCCCCTAACTCTGCATTTTATCATATAATCAAACAAGAAATTAGGATTGCAATCCAAAGCAAGGTGCAATAATACATTGACTACAGAAACTACCAATTAAGCTAAAACAAGTCTTAATCACGGGAAGTGACAACCACTAACGACACTGTTCATTTATTCACACTGTCACCACGGCAAGAGGAAGAATAATTATCCCATATAATGGACAAACTTAATTAGATTTACCTTTACACACAAAAACCTCACTCTGTAACATACCTTTTGAAAAAACGAGTGTAATTACTTGTTCCAAGTAATCTTTTCATTAAACACATTGATTACACTAACTCTTCAAGTTGGCTTTGAAATATTATACTTCTTTATTGTTAAGAAAATAATGTATGTAAAAAATATAAATAACTGAACTAAGCACATGGCTTTGGTAATTTTTATCATCAGTATTTTTCTACCCGAATCGGCAACCGATTACATAAATTAATGTATCGATACCAGATATATTGTACTGCACATAAAAGTTATACAAATTTACATAAAGCAAGAGGATTGCGGTTTCATTAGTTTAGTTGTTGTCCATGATAGTGTTATTAAAATAAATAAAAATGTAAAATGAAATTATATTCCAAAAGCTAGATGAGTCTCGTCAATGCAGTAAGGGGTTTCCACCACTGCGGATAGTTCGTTCTAATTTATTATTAATAACATCACCGAGTAAATAGATCGCAGAAATATATGGTAGGTGTGGCCTCCTGTAATATTTAATGGCCCTACGAGATCAATGGTAGAAGCTATAAAACACGCAAGAAACCAATATGTTCAGTTATTTTACAAACTAATGTCTATGTCTCCTCAATTTTTACAATAAACAGATATTTTATTATTCATTTCTACTATTTACTGAATACATATTTAACCAAGCAGCTATGGTTGGATATATTTATTTTTGCTTTCTTACCTGCTATTACCAGAATCATCTAAGTTACTAAACTCGTCCGTCTTCACGTAAAATTTAATCTCTTATAACTATGTAAATTTTAAACATTCAAATTGATACTTAAATGCTATGCTACAAAACGGATGAAGATTTGTACTCAGATCTGATTAAGCTAAGTGCTTCGAAATGTACATGGTCATAAACGCTTAGCTATGTTCTGTGAAGAAGGAAAATATTATTAATCCAGATTATGCTGCCGTTTGTCGATGCAATTTTAAAACAAACAAATAAAATATAAGTGAGAAATTCAAGATTATGTGTAGGCCCTACTCATAAGATACTACCCAAAGTTGATGAATTATCCAATCCATTATCTCCTAGAGTAATAAACAATTTTAATTTAATGAATGACCAAGCTACATGATATATACATGATACATTATAATATTAAATCCTATCATTGACATCCTTTTATTGAAGGAATAATTCATATTTAAATAATAGTATTGTAGTATTGTATCCAATTTCGAATACACAACATCCCTTATAATCAAAATTTTCACATTGTTGCCCCGTAAATCTTAAACTATACGTTTTCTTGTCCATGTTACTATATTTTTGATTTTTATAAGTTTTCCATTTTCTACTTTTATCATAAATGCTAATGCATAAAACCTAACCAGTTGTAGAATTTTCACTGAGAAGTTTTGAGCAATTGCCTTGATAGCCGAGTCTATTTTTTACCTTATTTATATCGTTATAATACTTAACTAGCATAACCACAAAAAATATACTTATAAAACCCCCTCCTTGTCTAAAGGTGTAAATCCTTTACACAACCAGAATAGTTTGGACCAACAATGCTACATTCACAATGATGTATATCTCGATGTATATGTGACAGATGTGTAAACCAATCCCCAATGTCAACATGATATACTCTCTGTGTGGGTTTGATGTTAGATTTGCACTTGGCAGATGTGCTTACTTAGACAAATTTTTGTTATATATACTTTTTGAGGAATCATATGTATTACAACCAGAGTAGCCATTTACCTTACTAATTACTATAGTTGTCAGTATAAAAAATACAAATCACTATTTTAATACGGTATTATTTTCGTTTACAATTCCGACTTTCAGTTTTAAATAGAAATACTCGTTTAGGACCCCCCTGATAAAAAAGGGGATTTTCAAAGTGATGTTGTGTGTGTGTTGAGAGGTACAGACTCCAACTTAGGACCGATTTTGATTAAACTTGGTATGTTAGAGTCTATCGTACTTTAAACAAAATAGGCAACCCCCACCGCTCTGCAAGTTATAAAATTTTTTGTGATTTCCCCATAAAAACCTCATACAAGTAGTTAATCCCACCGCTTCTCCTTTGTAATTTATTTTCTTTATAAAAGTAGTAGGGAGTTCAGTTTTTCCGTCAGACTAATGGGAGAAAGTATGTGTCAGTTTGCCGTCACCGATTATTATTAAGCGCGCACTATTTTATGGAGGGGTTGGTTTCCCCTAGGATTAAATTTCCTACCTCTCACTTTCCCAAGCGTTAATGACATCTATTGAACATTTTGTAAGGATAGGTGAATGAAGCTGTAAAGCTACTGAGGGCTGGAACTCTGGTATGAGTCACATAGTGAACAATCTTGTATACAAGTATTATCATTTGAGGTAGCTTGAGTCTAAATCCTTGAAATTGGAAGCTATATTTGACTTTGAAGTATCACAAGGAAATATATTCTAAAGATAATTCGCACTGTATAGTGGTAGAGGGCGGGCATTTTGTCCCAGGATAAAATTCCGTCAATCAGAGGTGGATTTTGTATATGTGATAATGACACTACCTTCCTAGACTAGCCTAAAGTAACCTAATGTGTAAAATATTTCTAGGCAAGAGCCTAGCGTCCTAGAACGTGAAGGGCATAAAAAACATAAATAGGGAAGACAGACTTTTAACACAGTCTCATTTACAAGGGTAGTTTAAATTGGATTAATTTGATTGCTCAATTATTATTTATGGTGGTGATTTAAAGTAACGTAGACATTTTTCTCTTAAACAAACTGAAACCGCCTGAATATCTCATCAACGTGTTGGGATCAAATATTCAAACATTCATGAAAGTGGAGGCTGTTTTTGTGAGTGGAGAGAGGCATAAAGCTAGATTGACAAAGAAACCAATCTGTCACTGGAGCATAAAACATCTCACCACGGATAGATAGGGTCTCAACGGCTTCATGTTGGGATGGGTCAGGATTTTGTTTAATCCGCGACGGTAATGCGCATACTAATTCATCAAAATAACAACTATTGGTTGAAAAAAACTTGTTGTAAACTAAACTGATTATTTGTATTCTTAAATGTGTCAACTGTTTTAATGTACAGTTTTGTTCAATGATTGTTGATAATTTCATATATTTTTAACATTATGAACTCATGATTCTGTATAAAACCCATGGTAGATAGCCTATAGTGGATAAAAAAATAGATCCATAAATTCCACCCTCATTACTAATGACTGGTCCACAGATAATAAATTTATTTTAGTTGCCAAAATAATATATCAAGTTTGTTTAAGTTTGTTTTCCCAGATTACAATTTTTTTACTAAAATTTTAATGATGCTTTGTAACAACAGATTGATGTTTGATCGTAACAATATCGTGGTTACGGCAATTTCGTAGATAGACACAGTATAAAAAGCAAGAGTAAAAACGCCAAAATAATAATAATTACCATTGATCAAATAAAAATAGCCTCTTAAAGAACATTTTCTTCTAAATTGAAACATAGCTCCTTGCTACGAAATGGTATAAAGTAGTCAATGCTACTTATAATTATTTTTCATACTTTAAGCGTATAAGTGAGTGAAAAGTAACCTTGAAAGGTATAACAATCAAGTGTAGTTTTTTAAAGAATATATCCCCCATAAAATGTTAACAACATTACCTTGCAACCTCCTTTAATGAGGGAAGTCCAAAAGGTGAGTTGAAATTGAGAGATTTCAGTTGATCACAAACTTGTCAGCGCAGGTTGAACCACGTAGTTGCACGTCACAGTCGCACATGTACAGTACGTCGTGTACAAAGCACGTACACGTTATGTCACGTCCGGTCGGTCGTACAGACGACGCGATACTGTCGCCGCGACGCCTACGACTGGCCGCCCCCGCCATGCGCATGTCCGTCCACAGCTCTTGAGTATTAGAGGATTTGCTGTTGAGACATTGTTCAGAAGACAATTTATGAAATAAATAAACTGGACGTTTGACCGAATCATTAAATACTGTTGAACCATCGTTGCACGTAGATGGGTCGCATAAAGAGATTTTTGCGTTAATTTGCACAAATATTTAAGATACTTTTTGATGTGGGCCTTGATTTTGTTTTGGTCACTGATGCGTATTTTGTCTCATTGAGGTATTTTAAGAGTGTCCATAATGAGGCAGATTATGTACGAATGCCTTAATGAGGTGAAATGCACGTCGGTGACTAAAACATACAATATTAAGAACAATATGGCAACAAAAGATTATAATAAATGATATCAGCTATCTGACACATACTTTCTCCCGTAAGAATGTCAAACAGAGAGCATGTGTGTGTATATCATGGCACATGGGTAATCAGTGTGCGAAACTTTGATAATTTATTGAGAAAATCTCAAAATTTGTAAGAACTTGTAAGCCCCGCAATAAAGGTTGTATCAACACATTTGGAGTTAAAAGGGCTATAACATACACAAAATTTGAATAATAGTTCAACTGGTTATTTTGAAAATGAATAGATTTTTATGAGGATAATCACAAAAGTTGCAATAACCTTTTATCAGTAATTTGTGGAGCTATTGGGGTTATACCAACTTGTTCTGGTCAAAAGTAGTATATACAAGGTCTAATCAAAATCGTTCAGTCCAATTTTAATAACATTTGATTTTTTGTTTGTTTTGTGGATTTTTATGAGAAAATCACCATAAACAATAAAAAAAAATTGTAAAACTCCTGGAGATGACATGGATTAGTGACTTTCCAGATTTAATCAAAATCGGACCATATGTGTAATCTATAGCTCTGTACACATCCACAAAAACAGACAGACACGCAGACAGAAATCACTTCGAAAACAATGTTTTTTTGTTCATGGGGACCCAAAACTCAAACTCGGAAATGTTGACGAAAACAATAGTTTTTCCATAACTATGGTAGAGGCGGAGGAAGTAAAAATGTTACTAAATTATTTTACTTCCTGAAACTGAGAAACACTATATACTCCAATATTTGTTTCGCAAGATTTAGATCTAACACCAATTTTATTTTGAGAGCTCATGAAAAATATCGTAATGATGTTAGTGTTTATTATTGTAGTGGGTTTATTATTTTCCCCTCTAGGTATTATATGATTAAGTGTAGACAATCTCCTTTGTTACAGAAGACGATTTCCCCGAATTTGAGAAAGGTTTTTTTTATAGTTGGTCTTTTATCTTCAGTTGGGCTTTAAACCATCGAGTTACCTTTGGACGATGTATCAAAGTTAAGATTTATTTACGTTAAAAACGTGGTCTCCTATGTATCCAATGTGCAATATTATATAAAAGTAAACTAAATCATTTCGTGATAATATTATTTTTACTGTTTAAAATATGTATCACGTTAAATTATTTTCTACTAAAACTAAGTTTAGTGTACTACTATAGTTCAGGTATTATTTCATTGCTTGTACGATTAATTTTCGTAAGTGACTATTTTTAATGTTTTGTCGTAGTATATCAACAGTTATTAGGCTTAACAATCTTGTAGTTTCAGATATATCTTTTGGACGTCTTATATCTTACCATAACTAAATACAATTTAAATATTGTTTATTATACTTGTAGGTTGAAATCTATTATAAAAAAGATGTTCTATTATACAGTATTAAATAAATATACCAATAAATCGTGAAATAGCTATCGTAGCCAAAGATCTAACCTTGCTTCATGTTTCCTCCTAAAATGTTCATTGGTATTTTTTTCCTAGGACCCTAGGCACGAGCCTGGGATTGTTTTTCACATTACTTCAAGCTAGACCTATGGGTTGCGGCGTTATCACTTGGATAAAATCCATTGGTGACTTGGCGGGAATCGAACCCGGGACCTCAGGGACTGGAGTCCCGCGCTCTAACCCCTACGCCAGCTCGCTCCCCCATTGGTATTAACAAAATAAGATATTTATATACCACTTTCCATGATAAAATTTCTGAATTGACTTTACAATTCTTCTGTAAAATAGTGAATCATTATATTTTATACATATACCTTCCGTTAAACTTATAGTTACACACAATGTATGCCTCTACTCTATAATGATAACGTTTATTTCCAAAAGATATAAAATTCAACGTTCAGAATGTTCAGCGTTCAAATGTTCAGAATAAGATAAGCGAAAGTAAGTTTGTCAGTAGTAAAAGTAAATCCGTCTCAGCAAACACAGCCTTAGGCGAGGCAGCTTCGGTGAAGGAAAACGACTGACTTAATGGACTTTGCTGAAGAACTAATAAAAGTCCTATAAATATATTTTCTGACGTAATCTTTTATCTTCAAGTAAATTTACCCTCCAAGTGATATCATGTGAAAGTAAAGTTTATTGCAATTTATCTATTTATTTATCTTGATATTTTATGAAAAATATATTGAGAGCGATTCCACTATACTTTCACCTGAAAAAATAAACAAATTATACGTCTACACTAGTTATATTAGACTAGTGTTACTGTGTTACACTAGTTTTTTTTTTACTGTGTTGACTAGTGTTAGTGTGTTTTACTAGTGTTATTAGACATATAATTTGCTTATTTTTTCAGGTAATTTAAAAACACGTACGATGCTGATGGAAGTTATTCACTAACCTTTCAGTCCGAATTCCAATCTGTTATGTGTTCTAGAACACATCTATGATTTTTGAAACTGTATTATTTACCCAAAAATAGGAGCAGTGGTCCGCGATAGACGCTCCTGGCAAAATAGACTAACCCGAAACAATGCAAAGCAGCTAACTCCAAATTATATATTATTAGACATGTGCTCCATATCTAACTTGGGCGTTAGACGCACCAGCCGCTTATGGAAAAACAGGCATTTATTCTTTAATAAAAACTTTTGGTATTTCCAAATAATGATGGATATTTTATTTTTGCGATTGAAAACTTAACAAACTGAGGCGTAATCTATGAACCTAAGCGGAAGCTTGATACCTACAAAATTCATTGACCAAAATGTCTCTCTTATGCATTATTTAAGCATTTGTACCACTTATCCCTACTTTTACCACTGTATATATTTCTAAAATTATTGGTAACTCGTTTTTTCCATTTTAGTATTTCTGAAGTAAATTTACTTCAACAATATGAATCAACAGTGTATTTGAAATGATTGAACCCTGTGTTAATTTTACGCAAAATCAATATAGCTATGAATGAATAGATAATTTTAAATTCGTTAAAATGATTAAAGTTGTGAAATCCTACAGAGGGGGGAAACTCCACTAAGAGAACCCTCTCGTCCAAAAATCTCGTCGACCAATCACATTCTTGCCTAAGGCTGCCTCGACAAATTTAATTTTCCTTCTGAATGCACTCGTCTCTTCTCTCCTTGAATTTGATAAATATTTTTCATCCTGAATATTTCAAAAATCGTACAAATTTACTAAACATGGTAAAATATCGTACCAGTTAATACTGTATTTTCTATAATTAATTATGTATCATTGTATACATAGTCACAGTTTATGAAATATTTGTATGTTATGAAATGGGGTTATCGAAGAATAAATTCCACCTTACAATAGCTTGAAGACCTACTATGTTACATACCACTCTTAAATTTGCACTTATTCTAGTACTGATTCCTCCAATGTGACAATTAATTAAATACCATACACACAATCTAAAATATATTTGATTTTTTATTGATTATTAGTTAAGTTTTAATGGTGAAGAAAAGTGCTATTAAATATTTGTAATGTAGTAAGATATATTAGGTATATGTCAAAACCAAGGAGCATGTATATCTCACATTCCCCCCATTTTGGTAAAACTTTTTAAGTCAATGAAAATAAAATATACTTGTAAGGCCAAGTAAATTAAGATTCCCAATTAAGGTGATTATGAAATAACAATTTCAATCTTTGTACAAAAACAAGGCACCTTACTCTTTTGCAACTGGTTATTTTTTTATTGCAAAACATTTAAAACTGCCTATGCATAAACTACTATAAAAATATTTTACAAAATAAGTTTAAATGTGTATTTATAAACAACAATTAACTTTGCTAAAAGCATGTGTCTTGAAAAAGTGTTTTTTACCTTCTTCTCAAAATAAATCTTGGCTTTATAAGATGGAAAGATAAATAACTCAAAACAAGAATAGATTAATAAAATAACTTAAGTTCTGTTAACTATAACTGTTCAATATTCATTAGCAGGCCAGCTGATCATTGTGAGAGAGATATAGAGCATATTACAAAATCCCCCTCATGGCCGCAACAATACGATAATAAAAATTTAAAAATTAATGTAAACACCAAATTATATATTATTAGACATGTGCTCCATATCTAACTTGGGCGTTAGACGCACCAGCCGCTTATGGAAAAACAGGCATTTATTCTTTAATAAAAACTTTTGGTATTTCCAAATAATGATGGATATTTTATTTTTGCGATTGAAAACTTAACAAACTGAGGCGTAATCTATGAACCTAAGCGGAAGCTTGATACCTACAAAATTCATTGACCAAAATGTCTCTCTTATGCATTATTTAAGCATTTGTACCACTTATCCCTACTTTTACCACTGTATATATTTCTAAAATTATTGGTAACTCGTTTTTTCCATTTTAATATTTCTGAAGTAAATTTACTTCAACAATATGAATCAACAGTGTATTTGAAATGATTGAACCCTGTGTTAATTTTACGCAAAATCAATATAGCTATGAATGAATAGATAATTTTAAATTCGTTAAAATGATTAAAGTTGTGAAATCCTACAGAGGGGGGAAACTCCACTAAGAGAACCCTCTCGTCCAAAAATCTCGTCGACCAATCACATTCTTGCCTAAGGCTGCCTTGACAAATTTAATTTTC